TCAACTGTTATATTCTTCATAAGATTTGTTTCCATAAAGACATCAATTCTTGATCAAGGCTTTTGGTTTGAATGTAGTTTGAAACAAATGCAAGTGGATAAGGAATCATAGACTTTTCGAAAGAGTTTGGCACCTGAATCAGTTTGGTTAATGGCTGTAATAGCAGAGAGTCTATTTATAATCATATACTTCTTCAACTATAAATCCATTACATAACATTTCAAAAAAACAAAGGTATAATGTACGGAAAGACTAAAAGAATGGAGTAAATACACAGTTGTATAGAATAGATTCACACAAGTAAAAGTAATACAGGAAATATATAACTTTGATATTATATATAAAGACCTAACTGATCACTATCACCACCCCATGGTTGTAGCTGCTATCTTTGCATTCACTTCATCAAACAATCAAATAACAAAAGGACTGTAAAAACACAATTTTGTGATGGTAACTTTTAGCAAGAGATTAATCAAATATTAACTTTGTGATCTTCATCTTTCTCCTCCAAGCCTTTACTTACATCAGATAACTCTGCTTCCTCTTTCATCAACCCATTGTCTGCAACCCTAATATTCCTCAGTTCATCCACAGCAGGACCATAAGCCCAGCTGCAGAGCAGGAAATAGAGCACATTGAGGAAACTCAGTAGAGCAAGAAGCCAGTAGTAGTAATCATAGTGACCCTTGTTAATGTTATCTGAAACCCAGCTCTCTTTACCCCCTTTTGAAGTAACATCATCCACAATGCTCACTATAAGACTTGCTAATAAGTTTGCCACTGCCATTCCCAGTCCGAACAATGCCCCAGCGATGCTTGAAATGCTTTTTGGGAACTCTGAGTAGAAAAATTCGGTTTGGCCTATTCCGGTTAATGCTTCTGCTAAGCCGTGCAATACATATTGTGGCACCAGCCACATCGCAGACATGCCAACTACTGCTTGAGAATTTTCTGCAAGTCCTTGGTGAATTGCTTTCCTTCGCCTGAAACTCTCTACCATTGCTGAAATTACCATAGCCATGCAGGAGACAAACAGTCCCATTCCCAGCCTTAATTTGACAGCAATCTTCACTGGTTTGCCTCTGATTTTCGATGCCAATGGGAGGATGACACGGTCGTAAAGTACAACCCAGAGAGCTAGAGCAATAATTGTGAACATACCAAAAGAGCCTGCTGGGATTTGGAAGCTTGAACCAATGTGTCTGTTCATGGAATTCGCCTGCAGCAATTGGAATGAGCTTTGGCTTACATTGATTGACATCACAATCCCTGTAGACCATATTGGTAGGACTTTGATGAGAGCCTTGAGCTCTTCTACTTGCTCTATTGTGCAAAGCCGCCAAGGGTTCCTAGCCGATCCATCCGGGGAAATGTCTTGTTCAGGATTCCTTGTTATGCAACCTTTGTTCAAAAACCTATCACATATACATATATCTCAAACTAAAGTATATATACTTCACCTTCACAATTTAAACAAAATAAACATGTACCTTAATTTTTGTGTTGGTGCTAAGAGTTGAGAGTCCTTCTTGTTATGATAAGACCCTCTTGAGTCCTGCTCATTAGGGAAAGAAAGGTGTCTATTTCTATATGCAGCGACAACCACTTGTGCAAGGCCAGTGAACAAGCTCTTGTTTGGAGGACGCTTGACGTACAAACGCGAGGCGAGAATAAACAAGAGAGTAGCAAGGATCATTAGAATTGCAGGAACTCCAAATCCCACTTTCCATCCAAGATGATCTTGGATATAAACGATGCCGGTGAAAGCAATAAGGACCGAGACTGATGCAGAAGCATAATACCAACCGAAGAAACTCTCTAAGACTCTCTGGTTTTTGGGATTATGTTTGTTGTCCAATTGATCAGCACCAAATGCTAATGAGCAAGGTCTGATGCCACCTGAGCCTATAGAGATGAGAATGAATGAGAAGATCAAAAGACTCATTTGAGATGGTGTTGGAGATTTGCAGTTTCCTGATGAAAGATCACATGGTGGAGGCTTGGCTGCTGGTATCATTGCTGTTAACCACAGCAGTAACATCCCCTGTAAAATTCAAAACTTAAATCAATCCTTCATTAATTTAAACTGTTTAATTATTAATGTATAAAACTTATTTATCCATCCTATTAAAATTTTATCTTCATAATTATTTACCAAATAATTGAAATACTTCAACTTAAGATATCTGTCAATTCATGTCTGCTCCACTACTACTACTACTGATATGAATCTACATACGTATATATAATGACCCATTTGTTTTGAAGCTAAGACATGAATTATGAACATGAGCTCCAAATTTGTAATGGGGGCCGGGTGGGACCTAAAGCTGGCTGAAAACCTAAATAATTCTATTTTACTTTTCCAGGAATTATTGATTGCTGTCTGTCTGCATGGCTTTTTATCCTTGTAATTCTTTTTTAAAAAAATATTTATTTTTTGAAAGGAAGCTTTTCTGGGTTTTGGTTTGAACAGAGGATAGCGTGTATAATATGCACTATTCACATGAATTGCCGGAGAAAGCTGAGAAAAACAAGGTACTGAAAAACTTTAATTTAATTTTAATAACTTCAAACTTTGGATTCAGTACATTCAATTATAAAATTAATTATATAACCCACAAAAAGTCAGCAAACAGGCACAAAAAGATCATATCATTTTACAATAAATCCCAGCTGTCTCACCATTTACAAATCCCATATGCAATGATTATTGTACTATCTCACATGCCTATCACGACAAACCAGTAAAAAAAAAAAAAAGAAAAAGAGAAAGGAAGAAAAAAAGAAAAAGAAAAGAGAAATGCATACCGAGAAACTGGAGAAAGAAGCGAAGGCAATGGTGGAGAACCGACCCAGGTAAGAATCAGAGAGGAAAGCACCGAGAAGAGGCATGAAATTTGTAGCAGCTGACCAGAAGAAGATGATATTGGTTCCTTTGGCTACTCCGAGCTTGTAATCTTTCATTAAATACAGAATCATATTTGGTACCAAACCGTAACTTGCTACCTTCTCAAACGCTTCATTTGCTGTTCATCAAAAAACACAACACAGAAATTAGAGTTTACCAGATTTGGTAAGCCATTCCATAGTTTTTACCCAGAAAGAAAGAAAGTAAACCCATGACTTAAAAAGAAATGCGATAACTAAATCTATACTAGATGTGTATACATGTGTGTGTGTGCGTGTATATATGTATTTACAGGTAGTACCTATGATGAAAGGCATGGTAACGAGGCCACCCTTTCGCCTTGTACGTGTGGGTTGATGAACATTTAGTTGGGTTTGATGAGAAGAGTCCTCCATTGTTGTCTATTTGATCGGCGTATTTGACCTTTCCCTCTTTAATTTGAAAAGCAGGGAGGCGCACAGAGAAAGAAAGAGAGGGAGAGAGAGAGAGAGAGAGGTGCAAAATCTTTGTCTGTGTGACTTCACAATTTATGGGGATTTTCAGACACAAAGATCTGTGTGCGTGTAGTGAACTGAGAAATAAATGCTTCATATGTCAATAAGGATATATATATATATATATGTATAAAAAAATTATATTTTAAGATAAGAATTTCTTTTATTTTTTTATAATTTTTTTTTACAAAAAGATAAAGAGTTTCTTTTCGATTAAAGGAGGATCAGAAGAGTTTCACCTCAATAAAAAATGTATTCCAAGTACTTCAAGTGTTCAGATTTGTTGAAAGTTTTCAGATTTATCAAAGTAACTTTTTGTTCTTTAAATTTACTTACCCATCAAATATATGTGTGTATATATATATAAGCCTATTGTTAACTTCCCTTGTTATCACAATGTTACTTTAAATCAAGTAGAAATTTGTCAAAATTAATATATATATATATATAAATATAATGTGTTAAAGATTTATTATACTACTTAGTTGATTGCATTAGGATCTTTTTTTAAAAAAAAAAAATTGATTATTAAACCTGAAGTTGTAATACTAATTCATCCTTAGGTTCATGAATCAAAACTAAAACTACATGTAATTTCAAGATAATATATTTCTTTTCACCACACAATATTTTAGTTAATTGATCTATATTTGAAGGTATTTGAAAACTTAGTATAATATGATTCTACATTTAGAAATTTTTAATTAATTGAAGAATTTTAATTTTTTAAACTTGTGAATAGAAATATTAAAAAAATCTAAGATTAATTTATAAAAAAATTATAATTTTATTTAAAATAATAAGAAATAGAAATTAAAATAGAAAACATATAATTTAATTGATTAAAATAATTATACTATTGTGTACTCTTATCACATTTCAATTATGATATTATCTATTTATAATATAGAATTTATAAATTCAAACTTAATTGCTTTCCAAAATATGTTTTTTTTCTGATTTAACAACCATCTAATCATCAAGCCAAAATTGTAAAGCTAAGTTAATCATAAATTTGAAATTTCTTATTAAGAGTTGTCCAAATTATCTTCCTAACAATTATTTTTATGTGTAAATCAATACTAGAAAATTAATTTTTTAAATATCTTCAATAAAAAATATTTATTAATTTTTTGATATTATCTAAATATCAAATAAAAAATAAAGCACCATTTTTTTTTCATAAAAAATAAAACATAAACCAAAAATCTATATTTTCTTTCTTTTCTTGAATGGACGGACCTTACCAATGATCCCTCCTTCTAGCCCATGGGGAGTGTATCTACATCTCAATAATCATTTATAACTTACTTCTACTATCATATCATATAATTAGTACTTGTTCTGAGTCACTACCTTAATTAGAATATCAGTTAAATTTTTTTTCAGTATGAATTTTATTTATTAAAATTTTATAATTGTTTACAACTTCACGAATGTAATGGTGTCTTACATCAATATATTTAGTGTAACAATAATATGAAATATTTTTGTTTATTTTGACTATCACAGTTAACCATATAATTTCCTACTTTAAATTAAATTATTAAATAAACTTCTTCAATCAAAGTAGTTTTTTGCCAGTTTCAGTTGTTGCAATATACTTTATTTTAATGAAACATATTTTTATAGTTCACATTGTCATGTCACAACTCTTCTTTAAAAGCAAATATGCCATGTAGCTCCCGGACCGAGAAGGAAAAAAAAAAAAAAAAAAAAAAGCCACATCGGCAGCCT